CTTCCCCAGCTTTCTGGGTAGTTGCTTTTGTTGCTAGCTCTCAGTTGTTGGTGTGCCCTTTTCTCTGCCCTGCAGCTCCCAGTACCCTCTGTGCTGAGCCCTGATCGGGTAAGATTGGAGGTCAGTGGTCAGGCAGTGAGGCTAATGGATTGCAACTTGCTTGCCCTCTCCCTGGCTGGGTCCGTGTGTTCAGATCCGTGCCATTTCTGTGTCCTGGGTTTTGAACCCTTCCTTTAGGTGCGATTTCCAATGCCTACCTGTGCCTGAAATTGGAGGCATTGGTATGGTCACCATGTAGGTATACTATGGGCTGCTTCTCAAGACCTTCCTGTATGGTTCTTTTGGTAATGTTTACATCTCTTCTTCCACCTGCCCCCCTTCCTTCAGCTTTGTTGAGGTATGATTGACAAATAAAATTATATTATTGAAAGTATATTACGTGATGACTTGATACACAGTATGAAATTATTGCCTGAGTAAAGGTAAACAACACACCCACCACTTGATATAATTACCTTTTTCTTGGTGGTTGTGAGAAAGCTTAGTATCTACTCTCTTACCAAATTTCAAGTGTGCAATACAGTAGTAACAACTGTACTCAACATGCTGTACATTAGATCCTCAGAATTTACTCATCTTGTTAAGTGAAACTGTGTACCCCTGACCACCTTTCCATTTCCTCCAGTCCTTAGCTTCTGGCATTCTACTTTCTGTTTCTGATGTTTTTGTTTGTTTGTTTCAAGAATATCCATATATATGATACCATTCACTATTTGCCTTTTCTGTGTGGTTTATTTGACTTAGCATAGTATTTTCTAGGTTCATCCATGTCATGGCAGTGTTGTTTTCTTTTTTATTGCTGAATATTCCTGCATTTGTGTGTGTACTGAATGTTCTTTTTCCCTTTAAACACTCAGGCACACTTACTGATGTTTCCATATATTTGCTATTGTGAATAATACCTCAGTGGATATATGTGTGTGGAGATACTGATTTTGTTTCCTTGGGATACATACCTGGAAATGGCAATGGTGGACCATATGGTAGGGATTTTTGTTTTGTTTTTTAATTTAAATTTTGTTAGTTAACATACAGTGCAGTAATGGCTTCTGGAGTAGAATTCTGTGATTCATCACTTACATCCAACAGCCAGTGCTCATCACAAGTGCCCTCTTTAATACCCATCACCCATCTAGCCCACCGCCCACCCACCTCCCTCCATCAACCCTCAGTTTGTTCTCTTTTGTTAAGTTTCACTTATGGCTTGTTTCCCTCTCTCCTTTTTTCTGTTCCCCCCTCCCATATGTTCATCTCTTTTCTTTCCTAAATTCCATATATGAGTGAGTGAGATCATATTGTATTTGTCTTTCTTTGATTGACTTATTTCACTTAGCATAATATACTCTAGTTCCATCCACATAGTTGCAAACGGCAAGATTTCATTTGGGTTCTCTTACTTGGTTATTGCTGATGTAAACATTGGGGTGCATATACCCCTTTTTATCTGTATTTTTGTATCCTTTGGGTAAACACCTAGTAGTGCAATTGCTGGATCATAGAGTAGCTCTATTTTGAACTTTTTGAGGAACCTCCATAGTGTTCTCCGGAATGGCTGCACCATTTTACATTCCCACCAACAGTCCAAGAGTGTTCCCCTTTTTCCACATCCTCGCCAACACCTGTTGTTTCCTGTATTGTGTTTTTTGAACATTTTTTTAAGAAAAAATTTTATTTATTTATTTGAGAGAGAGACAGATAGCGAGAGAGCAGGAGCAGGGAGGAGAGGGAGAAGCAGGCTCTCCACTGAGCAGGGAGCCTCATGCTAGATCCCAGGACCCTGAGATCATGATCTGAGCCGAAGGCAGACGCTTAACCATCTGAGCCACCCAGGCGCCCCTCCTGTGTTGTTAATTTTAACCATTCTCTCAGGTGTGAGGTGGTATCTCATCATGGTTTTGATTTGTATTTCCCTGATGATGAGTGATGTTAAGCACATTTCCATGCGTCTTTTAGCCATCTGGATGTCTTCTTTGGAAAAATGTCTATTCATGTCTTCTGCCCGATTCTTAACTGGATTATTTGTTTTGGGGTGTTGAGTTTGGTAAGTTCTTTATAGGTATCGGATACTAAGCATTTATCAAATATGTTGTTTGCAAATATCTTCTTCCATTCTGTAGGCTGCCTTTTAGTTTTGTTGATTGTTTCCTTCACTGTGCAGAAGCTTTTTATCTTGGTGAGGTCCCAGTAGTTCATTTTTGCTTTTGTTTGCCTTGCGTCCGGCAACGTGTTTAATAAGAAGTTGTTCCAGCCAAGGTCAAAGAGGTTTCTGCCTGTGTTCTCTAGAATCTTGATGGTTTCCTATCTCACATTTAGGTCTTTTAGCCACTTTTGAATTTATTTTTTGTGTATGGTGTAAGAAAATGGTCCAGTTTCATTCTTCGGCATGTAGCTGTCCAGTTTTCCCAACACCATTTGTTGAAGAGACTGTCTTTTTTTCCATTGGATATTCTTTCCTTCTTTTGGGAGATTAGTTGACCATAGAGTTGTGGGTCCATTTCTGGGTTCTCTCTTGATCTATGTATCTGTTTTTGTGCCAGTACCATACTGTCTTGATGACTACAGCTTTGCAATATAGCTTGAAATCTGGAATTGTGGTGCCTCGTTTGTTTTCTTTTCAGAATTGTTTTGGCTATTCAGGGAATTTTGTGGTTCCATACAAATTTTAGGATTGTTTGTTCTAGTTTTGTGAAACATGCTGGTGATATTTTGATAGGGATTGCAATGAATTTGTAGATTGCTTTGAGTAGTAGAGACATTTTAACAATCTTTGTTCTTCCAGGCCATGAGCTTAGAATGTTTTACATTTGTGTCCTCTTCAATTTCTTTCATGAGTGTCCTATAGTTTATAGTTTTCAGAGTAAGATCTTTTACCTCTTTGGTTAGGTTTATTCCTGGGTACCTTATTGTTTTTGGTGCAGCTGCAAATGGGATCAATTCCTTGATTTCTTTTTCTGCTGCTTTGTTACTGGTGTATAGAAATGCAACAGATTTCTGCACATCACTTTTGTATCCTGCAACTTTGCTGAATTCATGTATTGATTCTAGCAATTATTTGGTGGAGTCTTTCAGGTTTTCTACAGAATATTATGTTGTCTGCAAATAGTGAGATTTTGACTTCTTCCTTGCCAGTTGGGATGCCTTTTTTTTCTTTTTGTTTTCTGATTGCTAAGGCTAGGACTTCAGTACTATGTTTAATAGTAATGGTGAGAATGGACATCCCTGTCTTGTTCCTGACTACAGAGGAAGAGCTCTCAGTTTTCCCCATTGAGGATGATACTAGCTGTGGGTCTTTCATTTATGGCCTTTTTGATGTTGATTTATGTTCCCTCCATCCCTGCTTTGTTGAGGGTTTTTATCAAGAAAGGATGCTGTATTTTGTCAAATGCTTTTTCTGCATCTATGGAGAGGAGGACCATGTGGTTCTTACCCTTTCTTTTACTAAGTGGTGTATTGCATTGATTTGCAGTTGTTGAACCACTCATGCAGCCCAGGAAGAAATCCCACTTGATTGTGTTGAATAATTCTTTCAATGTACTGTTAGATTTGATTTGCTAGTATTTTATTTTATTTTTTATTCATTTTTTAAAAGATGTTTGTTTATTTGAGAGAGAGAGAGAGCACGCACAAGCGTGAGCGAGGGAAGGGGCAGAGGCAGAGGGAGAAGCGGACTCCCCGCCAAGCAGGGAACCCAACGCAGGGCTCGATCCCAGGATCCCCAGGATCACGACCTGAGCTGAAGGCAGATGCTTAACTGACTGAGCCACCCACGCACCCCTGATTTGCTAGTGTTTTATTGAGAATGTTAACATTCCTGTTCATCATGATATTGGCCTGTAATTCTCCTTTTTAGTGGGGTCTTTGATTTTGGTATGAAGGTAATGCTGGCTTTGTAGAATGAGTTTGGAAGTTTTCCTTCCATTTCTATTTTTTGGAAGTTTGAGAAGAACAGGTTTTAACTTTTCTTTAAATTCTGGTAGAATTCCCCTGGGTATCCATCCAGCCCTAGACTTTTGTTTATTGGGAGATTTTTGATTACTGATTCAGTTTCTTTGCTGGTTATGGGTCTGTTCATATTTGCCATTTCTTCCTGTTTTAGTTTTGGTACTTTGTAGAATTACAGGTATTTGTCCATTTTTTCCAGGTTTCCCAGTTTGTTGACATATAATTTTTCATAGTATTCTCTTATAATTGTTGTTATTTCGTTGGTGTTGATTGTGATCTCTCCTCTCTCATTCATGATTTTATCTATTTGGGTCCTTTCTGTTTTCTTTTAGTAAGTCTGGCTAGGGGGTTTATCAATTAATTCTTTCGAAGACTCAGCTCTTAGTTTCATTAATCCATTCTATTAGGGTGTTTTTGTTTGTTTCTCTATCATTTATTTCTGCTCCAATCTTTATTATTTCCCTTCTGCTGGCTTTAGGCTTTATTTGTGTTCCCTCACTAACTACTTTAGATGTAAGGTTACTTTGTGTATTTGAGACTTTTCTTGCTTCTTTTTTTTTTTTTTTTTTAAGATTTTATTTATTTATTTGACAGAGAACAGCGAGCGAGGGAACACAGGCAGGGGGAGTGGGAGAGGGAGAAGCAGGCTCCCCACTGAGCAGGGAGCCTGATGCAGGGCTCGATCCCAGGACCCTGGGATCATGACCCGAGCCAAAGGCAGATGAAGGCAGACGCTTAACGACTGAGCCACCTAGGCGCTCCCTTTTTTCTTGCTAAATGAGGTTTTCTGTATTGCAATATACTTCCCTCTTAGTGACTGCCTTTGCTGCATCCCAAAGGTTTTAGACTGTCGTGTTTTCATTTTCATTTGCTTCCATGTTTTGTTTTTTTTAATTTTTTCTTTAATATCCTGGTTATCCCATTCATTCTTTAGTAGGATGTTCTTTGATCTCTGTGTATTTTTGGTCTTTCCAAACTTTTTCTTGTCATTGACTTCAAGTTTCATAACATTGTGGTCTGAAAATATGCATGGTATGGTCTCAGTTTTTTGTAGCAGTTGAGGCCTGATTTGTGACCCAGTATGTGGTCTATTCTGGAGAATGTTCCATGTACACTCAAAAAGATTATGTATTCTGCTGCTTTAGGATGAAATGTTGTGAATATATCTGTTAAGTCCATCTGGTCCAGTGTGTCATTAAAAGCCATTGTTTCCTTGTTTATTGTCTTAGATGATCTGCCCATTGCTGTAAGTAGGGTGTTAAAGTCCCCTACCATTATTGTATTATTATGAATGAATTTCTTTATGTTTATCATTAATTGATTTATGTATTTGGGTGCTCCTATGTTGGGGACATAAATATTTTCAATTGTTAGATCTTCTTGATGGATAGACCCCTTAATCGTGATGTAATGCCCTTCATCTCTTGTTACAGGCTTTGGTATAAAATCTAGTTTGAGTATGAATCCGAGTCTATGTATGCCTACTCCGGCTTTCTTCTGTTTTTTGGGTTTTTTTTTTTTTAAGATTTTATTTATTCATTTGACAGAGAGAGAGAGAGCACGAGCAGGGGGAGCAGCAGAGGGAGAGGTTGAAGCAGGCTCTCGACTGAGCAGGCAGCTCGATGCGGGGCTCAATCCCAGGACCCTGGGATCATGACCTGAGCCAAAGGCAGATGCTCAACCAACTGAGCCACCCAGGGGCTCTCCTCTGGCTTTGTTTTGATTTCCATTAGCATGATAGATGATTGTCCCCTCACTTTCAATCTGCAGGTGTCTTTAGGTCTAAAATGAGTCTCTTATAGGCAGCATATAGATGGATCTTGTCTTTTAATCTATGTCTTTTCATTGGAGCATTTAGTCCATTTAAATTTAGAGTGATTATTGGGCTCCTGGGTGGCTCAGTCGTTAAGCGTCTGCCTTCAGCTCAGGTCAGGATCCCGGGGTCCTGGGATCAAGTCCTGCATCAGGCTCTCTGCTCAGTGGGAAGCCTGCTTCTCCCTCTCCCACTCCCCCTGCTTGTGTTCCCTCTCTCGCTGTCTCT